TATTTATCAATATTGCCATCATCGGCACTATCGTCACCTCTATCTATACGATCCTCAACTTTCTAATTATCAACATTCTCGCCGTCATTATCATCGTAATTTTTGTGTTTATCATCGTCATGTTCATCACCCTTACCACAGTCACCATCATCACTGATATTATTATTGTTGTCATTATCGTCATCGTCGTTGTCATCAAACATTTTCATCATCAACAACTTTCTTATTATCACCATCATGACGATGGTGCATACGGTTATCATCGACACCACCATCAACAGTGAAGGGCGATCATATGACTTCATCCCAAGTCTCAGAACTTAACTGCTCAGTGGTAGCTTCACGGTGCTTGTGGACACACAATATTACATTTTCTATTCCCTTTACTGTTCAAAAAGAGGAATGTGTCATTTGCCTAGCGACGTTCCCGGAATAGGGTTGCTCCCAATTTTGAGCGGATCATAACTCATACTGTCACAAGTCTGGCCATTTTTGACATTTCTCATTATATTTTCTGCGTATATAATGAATATGTATAGTGAGAGAATGCATCCCTGCCTCACTCCCTTCTGCACGTACTTTTTGAAAAGTTCGTTGCTTTAAATGTTAGAGACTGAACACAGGCAGATATCTGGCCGGTTCTTGGCGTCACGTTATCGATGTCCCCTTATTTAACAAAACCATTTGTATTAATACACTGAAGTGATTTAACAAATTACGTGATAAACCCCCAGTCCTTTCTCAAACAATGCAAAGGGCTGGCATAACTATCGAAAACATGTGGCGAATTATGTCGAGGAGAAAGGAGAAGAGAATGTTGATGAAATGCGCGCAGGCGGGAAGAGAAAGAGAAAAGCCGCGCGGCGCGGAAGCAGCAGGAGGTTGTGTTAGAAAGTAGAGCCCGCAGAAATCCCCTCCTCATTCTACCAGTGACTGACTCGCAGCACGGATCTCAATCAACCTTCTTCTTCGTTTTCTGCACATCCAACCCCGAATGACTGATATTTAATCAAGACAATGGATTTTGCTTACATACTTTGTACACTGCTGTCATCTTTGTTCCTGCAGGGCGGTTTTGGTGAGTGTTTGCCGTTGTTGTTGGAGTTTTTGTTGTGTTTTTGTTGTGTTCGCGTAAAGATAACTATAGCAGACGAAACGCTGGCGACCTGTACGGATCTAGATTTTCTGCGAAAAGTAGAATTTTCGGTTGGTCTGAGTGGATGCTCAGTAAGCGGGTAAAATGATAAGATTGAGATATGTATCAGAACCGACTCTGTAAACAAGTGGGCAGTTGTTTGAATGATTGGTCCGCAAACAATTATGAACATATATATGGGAGTATACCAGATGGATCAATAGACACAAGTAAAGGTTGTTACTTATAGATTTGTGCAGACAAAAAGACACGCTGGTTAACCCCCCCCCCCC